TCGTTTGTGTGAATGCCACATTATCGTTTGTGTGCATGCCACATTATCCTTACAAAAGAAATATTTTGTAAAGGAAGTAAAGTAACTTAACTGCTACTCAGTCACTCTGGAAGGTAATTCTTTTGAAGGAAAGTTTGCAATTTCAAGACTTTTTACATCTTCCCCAGGTGAAAACTTCTGAGGTTTTTGTATCTAGGGAGTCTTCATTCTGTCGTAGGTTTTCATAGGTGTTTTGTAGATCAGGTATGCACAAAGCATCTACTGTAGGCTGTTCTGGACAAAATTTCTAATGCATGGTTGACTGTGATGGAGAGAGCTGGACCTCACTATCCATCAGGATCTGGATAGTCCCTTCCAGTCTTCTGTTCCTAAGCGCATTTGTGATGCAGATAGTTGTCCAGTGACCTGGAATGAGACAGCCTATTCATTTCTGACAAACAGCCTTCAGATAGTAATGTCTTTTCATTACTAAAATGAGTAAAATAATGGCAGAGATATGAAAGGCATCGTGTCACCAATTCCCTTGAACCATTTGATTCTGTACATATAAAAGCATTGTAATTTGTGTGTATGGGCATGGATACATGCAGGCGTGTGCGTGAGAATGCAGAGAAAAGCACTTTAGAGTTGTATCAGAAGAAATGGAGCTGTCTTTGTAAGTAGAGTACCAACTATTGATGGTAAAAGGTAGCTCCTCAAATACATAGAACTTCATGAAGGAATGAGAATTTCTCCGCCCATCAACATGCACAGATATGTTTTTTGTTTGTTTATTATACCTCACAGGTTTATTAACATCTTATTTATGCAAAACTAATTTTGACGTGTTGTCTGTATCTGAAAGCCAAGATGAAAGGAGAAGAAATAAACTTTGTTAGAAACAAAGCTCAGTAATTTCCTTTTTTTGCCTAAATTGCGCAAATAAATTTTTATTTTTGCAAGTGATTTCTTTCAGAATTATTTTTAAAGGACATAAAAAACTCTTAAGATATTTTAAACACTAGTGTTCTTTTCAAAGTCAGATTCTACAGCTATGCTTTGCATGCTTTTTGTAAATTTTTAAAAAATTATGCTTTGTACATGTAAATTTATCCCAGTGTTTCTGCACAAAACTGTGTGCTTGTGCTGCCATTTATATGAGCAAAATTTCTGGCTAAAATTTTGGAAACTGTCTTTGGGGCTGGTGGGAAAAAACAGAAATGACTAGTGATACTAGTGGACCTCTTTCCTACAGATGTTAGTCACCTGTTCTAATACTGTGAATAATGATTATCTCGTAAGTTACAGATTTGAGTACTACTATGGTTCTACCTCTGTTAACAACATGATTCATTTTTTAATATCTATTCTGGATAAGAGCATTTGTGAGGATTAAAAAAAAATAATAATCTGGTGTAAAGTATTTTCATATGTAAAACAATCCAAGCCATTCATAAGCATATACACAGATACAATAGTCATAACACCAGAAAAGGATCAACCGTGTAGAAAGATTAGGTTAACAGAGGAATAATTAGGATTTGGGGCCAATCCTGCAATAGAATCCATACGTATCAATTCTTAGTTTATTTTTTTCTGTTACGCATTGCTTAACAGTAACTCAAAGTACAAACAGCTTTGTCAGTGCTTCTGGAGTAGTTTCACTGTCCTCCCATTCTCAGGTCCCACATGAATTTCTGCAGACATGTTAAGCCTCAGGTCGTTACTCTTCTAGGATGGATTTGTGCAACTTGATGTTTTCTGAGAACAGGACGTACGCTCCTCAGTACCATTTATGACTGAATTATTAAAATAGCTTGGAAACAACTTGTTCAAAACGGAGGACTAGTAATTCATGCTTCGGCAGTACCAAACACAAAGATGAAGCATAGAACTAAGAAGAAAAAAAGAAAAACTGTCTGTGCCGCTGTCATTATCTTTTTAGCTTGGACAGACATGTTTTGCAGTTGGTAGGAACAACGTAATAGCTTTTGGTCTCCTATGTCTGAGCTTGCTATTTTTTTCATTAAAACAATGGGCAGTTGTTCCTCTTTCAGACCACAACCGTTTTTAAAATAGCTTTGAAGTTGCAGGTTTCTTTGCTCGTGAGGTTGGCCCTTGCTGGAGTGCCCCACTCTAAGCTGGAAGGAGTTGTTCATTCATATCCTTACTTCCTGGAAGAGAAGGTTTCTATCAAAAAAAGGACTAAGTCATCTCACTATTTTACCTTTCTTTATGCCTCAGAATATTAAGACTCTCTTCTTATTGCAACTCTAACTTCCAGCAGCAATACAAAATAGAACAGGGAAAAAAATAGCCACATATTAAATGCAGAAAAGATTGTATAGACGGTACTCTCCTGTTTCGTCATAAATGTCAGTCTAAGCTGCTGTCCAACAGTGAAGACCCTGTCATATGGTTCCATCTGGGCCCGTTTTTTTTCTTAATTACCTGGTTCATTCTTTCTCAGAGACCCACCTGTGCTAGTTCAGAAGCTCGGGGTGCGATGGACAAGCCGGGTGCACCACCGCAGCAGCAGTGACCAGCGTCTGTGACTCTTCTGTTGGAGCAAATCAACAAAAGTGCACTCCTGTTCTGGATGCAAAGAGACTTCACTGTGCCTGGTGGAGGTGAGAAGGCTCTGAGACTGTCATGATTCCAAAAAGATCCTCTTGTCCTGAGGATTGATCCTGGACTCCTATTCCCTGGAGGTGTCAGTTAAGAAATTAATTCTCAGTATCAAGTTTAATTAGTGAAGATACATTTGGTATAGAAATCTAAACTTCTTTGTATATGGATTAAACCACAGTACACTGAAGAAAATGGGATTGCTTTCTTGAGATCCAAGTGAGGAGAGGTGGCTTTTCTTTCAGAAAATAATTAGGTGACCAATATGAATCAGAAGTAAGCAATAATTAATGTCAGCATAATGTATTGGGATTTTTTGTATCACTGTCATGAAAGATTTAGATTCTATTGCCCATGAATGGTATATATCCAGTTTCTTCCAGTTGCTAATACTATGAGTGTTGTGGTTTAACCCCAGCCTGCATCTAAGCTCCGCACAGCCGCTCGCTCACTCTCCGTGCGGCAGGATGGGGGAGAGAATCAGAAGAGCAAAAGTGAGAAAACTCATGGGTTGAGATAAAGACAGTTTAACAGGGAAAGCAAAGTCTGCACACGCAAGCAAAGCAAAACAAGGAATTCATTCACCACTTCCCATGGGCAGGCAGGTGTTCAGCCATCCCCAGGAAAGCAGGAGTCCATCACGTGTAACCATTACTTGGGAAGATAAACACCATCACTCCGAATGTCCTCCTCTTCCTTCTTCTTCCCCCAGCTTTATATGCTGAGCATGACATCATATGGTCTGGAATAGCCCTTTGGTCACCTGGGGTCAGCTGTCCCAGCTGCGTCCCCTCCTAACTTCTTGTGCACCCCCAGTCTACTCGCTGGTGGGGTGGGGTGAGAAGCAGAAAAGGCCGTGACTCTGTGCAAGCACTGCCCAGCCACAAATCCCAAACATCAGTATGTTATCAATGTTATTCTTATTCTAGATCCAAAACACAGCACTATACCAGCTACTAGGAAGAAAATTAACTATCCCAGCTGAAACTAGGACAATGAGGCAGCACCTATACAGCTTGCCTTGTTTTAAAAAAATCAGCCTGTGTTTAAATGTCTGTGAGGTTGCTGCCTCAGAGACCTATTTTGTTTGTATTTTTTTTTCCCCCTTTTGCTTTTCTGCATTAAGATACACTGGTTTTACACAAAGAGCTACACTGTTTTGTTCTGTCAATTCCTGATATGTTTTTTTTTCAGCTTGGACATTCTCACAGGAGCTGCGAGACCTTAGGAGAGAATATTTGCACCAGGCAAGGAGCAGCTCCTTAGAGTTGAAATAAAGAACTGGCTTTTGCGATAGCTACTCTATTTCCAGAGTGTAAACCTCAAGAGTGTTTGGGCCAATAAATCTGTGATCCAAACAGAGAATCAAATGGAGAACATTGCAGTGACTGTTTTCTGGCATTAATGAAAATAACGCAGAACTTCTATTTCAAAAAATTACATCTGCAGCTTACACTTTTGCATGCTTTTCAAAACATGAAAGATTTCAGTTGTTTAGCAAGCAGATTCTGATATACGCTGTGCTCTTTTTAATAACCTTTTTCATTGTACATTGCACGTGGCATGTTTATATTCTACAACTATATTTCAGTGGCCTTGTGTGGATTAATATTTATTTACATTGAGATTGAGCTGTTTTGAGTAATTAACATGAACAGGTTTCTCCTTAGCTATTGAAGACCCACACTTAGTTTTCATCTACCTTTTGCATCACTGTGGGAGATTAGATGGGAGAAAACAGATTTCAGTGCCTCCTGGTCCAGCTCAAGATGTGTGCTGATACTGCTGATACCCAAATATTTAGGAGGCTCTCATTCTGCATTAAAGAAGTGGTCATGTGTTGTGGCCCATGCACTTCCCTCTGTCTTCTCTCCCTTCAATCTGATGACAAGATGGTATGAATGTTAAATACAAGTCAGAAAATAAAAAAAGCGTGCTCATAGGCCAATTTTGCTCTTATGAGCTGTGTTAATCTTATGTTTTGGAATTGGGCAAATTTCTGGTAAAGTTCTCAAACCAGTTAACATGCAGGAAGAAAACAGTGAATAGATTCATGGTTTTGAAGAAGTGATTGTTTACTCCTCCGATTCCTCAAATCCTACAAAGAAATTAAATTGCCTGATAATGTGAAAGCTATTCTTTATCAGATACCTTGTGATTGTTTGTGTGGGAAAAAAATGGAGTTTTACTCATGGAATGCATGCAAAAGATTAGAGATGTTTTTCCTATATTCTATGTTTTGGCAATAAACTCAGTCTGGGCTGGCTAGCTTTTAGGAAATCTTTTATAACTTTTATGTATACTACTTCTTTTTTTTTTTCCTTCACAGAAATACTCTTCTTGATTCCTGCACCCCATATTCAAATCTACTGCTGAGATCAACAAAAAAAGAAATGATAAAATTTTTTCTTATGGTAAACAAACAAGGTCAAACAAGGCTCTCTAGGTATTACGAGCATGTAGAAATTAATAAACGGACAATGCTGGAAGCTGAAGTAATCAAAAACTGTCTCTCCCGTTCAAAGGATCAGGTAAGTTTTGTAGTTTTTTCCCTAGACTTTTTATTTTATCAACATCTTACGTCTTTCATGTTGGTAATTCTGAAAACACATCAGTTTCCATTGCAGGTTATTGTTTCATTTGTACCATGAAGAAAAAGGTTGTGTTTCTAGATTGTGGGTGCAGTCAGTTGAGCTGTTATTCTGCGTTGAATAAATATGTTTTTCTGAGGCTTACAGATTTTGGAGTTTTATGTATTACTGTCATGAAGGTTCCTCCTGTTTGTTTGAAGAAACTCAGAAGTCCAGGAAGAATTTATTTTATTCTGTTACTGCTTGTCTGGTAGAGATCCCTAGAGAGATATTACTGCTGGTTTGCTGGAAGGTGATAGGGATAGTACTGACATCTCCAAGTGTAAACAAAAAACAAGAGAGGATTCCAAATCATGAAAATACTATCTAAAACAGGGGTTTTTGGAAACACAACTATTTAGGCCTCTGTATTAGGCATTTTTATTCAAAAAAAGTGTTCACACTTTCTGCCAGCAAGTCAGAAAGCTCAGAAGTTGGAAAATTTCTTAGGTGAAAGTTGAGATTTTCATGGCTCTCTTAATTGAGCCACTGTTTATTTAAGAAAAGTACCAAACTTAGCAAAACTTTTGAGTACATTGACTTGCATTTGAGGAGGAGTCTGTGACTTAGACTGCAAGTGGAGTTTTTTTTGTTTGTGTTCTGAAGTCAGCTTCTTTATTTTTCTTTAGTTACTTCTGTGCTTGAACAGTGGTCCTCACCTATTTCATTCTAGAAAACCTCAGAAAAAAATAGCAGTTCCTATAAAGTACTTTAGTTCACAGACCTGACAGTGGCTGAAGAAACTAACCTCCTCCATGCTGCTCTTGCAAGAGCATCTTCAAACAGAACCTTCACCAGAAGAACTAATGGTATGCTGCCATTTCAAGGACTGAGCAAAACGATAATTAAAAAAAAAGGAAGTGGCATCCTGTAAAGCAGTGTATGACAGCACCATCTGCTGGCTCCTGTCTTCGTGTGAGAGACAGGAATTTCCCCCGAGTCTGGAAGTCTAATACTCTTAATTTTTATATTAAAATATCGATCATTTTTTAAATCTGAAAGTGAACTTCAGGTTGTCTCTTCTGGAAGTGCTTCCAAATGAAAATTTTGGGGAAGTATTGACTGCCTTATAATCTGAACAAGTCACTTCAGTTCTGTATGTTCCAGTTTTTCCATTTAAAAAGTGGTAGCGTGTTTTCTGCCAGTTGATGAAAAGTTTTGTGTGATAGAATCATAGAATGGTTAAAGTTGGAAGGGACCTCAAAGATCATCTAGTTCCAACCCCCCTGCCATGGACAAGGAAACCCTCCACTACACCATGTTGCCCAAAGACTCATCCAACCTGGCCTTGAACACTTCCAGGGATGGGGCATCTACAACTTCTCTGGGCAACCTGTTCCAGTGCCTCACCACCCTCAGAGTGAAAAATTTCTTCCTTATATCTAATCTAAATCTAACAGTGACCCTACTAAATTTCTTTCAAGTCAAAATTGTTTGGTGGATCCTGGGAAATGCATTGCTCGTTGTGGGCCTTACGAACATGAAAGCGTAGGCTCTTTGGGCACTCTGTGCTTGATACTGTTGTATGCTTAAGTGGCAGCTGCTATATTTGACTCGTTTTGCTTCTGCCTAGTGCTCTTTCATCGAGTACAAGGACTTTAAGCTGGTGTACCGACAGTATGCAGCCCTTTTCGTAGTCGTCGGAATCAACGAGACTGAGGTGAGAAATTACATACTCTCTTGAAATGAAAGGTTGTAGTGATTATCACAGGCAAGAGCTCAAGTCTTCTTCCACTATGGAACTTTGCAACAGCAATTAGAGAATTTCAAGGAGTCATTGCCAGGAAAAAAAAAAAAAAGTTTTATTTCTGTGAAATAAAAAGAGGTATAAAAGAAAATGTGGTATGTTTGACTTCAGGCTATAGCAGTAGACTGAACTGTTATCATGAGGCGGTCTTCCTGAGCCTTGTACTGATTCTGCTTTCTGAATTCATGTTTGATTAAACATAAATTTATGTGGGGTGAGGTTTCTTAACAAATGCTAGCACTATAGCCAGATCAGCTGTCTCATCTGTGGTGACTTCCCAACTGCCCACTGCTTTTAACCTCCTTGCCAAAGAAAAAACTCCTATACCATCAGCTAGAAAGATGCCAATTTATTGTATTTTTTTAAAAAGGGAAAAAAAAAGTATCTGAAAATTGACAAGTACTGTTCTTTCATGCATTCAGGCTGAGCCTTCAAGGCTTTAGCGTACATGGATTCCTGGTTCTCAGAAATTAATTTGAAGCTTATTATTGTAGACCTTAACAGGGTGGTGTGGAAGGTAGCCGCTGACTACCACAGTGACTTCAAGTCTGGGTTATAATGGCATGAGTTTTGGTCAAATCCTTCTGGCTTTGCTACATGGCACAAAACCCACCCATCTGTACTGCTGCAGCATAGCCTGGCTCTGCACTGCAGCTGGCCAGTGTGACTTCAGCGTGGGGAGGCACAGCCCAGTTAGCTGTGTCTATCTAGCTAACCCAGGTGATAGTGGAACAAAGGATGCAACGGGACGGCAGCAGCCCAGGTGAGACAAATCCATTGGGTTCTGCACTGATTACTTGTGTGGCTGGCCTGAAGCTTCTGCCCCTCAGCACTCCCCTGCTCTCAGTACCTCTGCTGGGTAACTAGACCTTCTCTCGCCGTGGTGGCCTGAGCTTGTGCACTTTGTTGTAGGTCTTACTATATTTTCTACTTGCTTTTCATACACCACAAACTGAAATAACGCAAAGCATACTGTTACATTTTCTAGCTGTTCATTTAATATTCATTTGGTTTTAATTTAATTTCAGAATGAGATGGCAGTATATGAACTAATTCATAACTTTGTGGAAGTTTTGGACAAATACTTCAGCAGAGTGGTGAGTGAGACATTGCATCTTTTATGAAATATTTCTTCTCTTTCAGAACTTTAGTGAATATGTAATTTCAGGGAATAAATCAAAGGCTATTTTTTTTTTTCATATTGATTTAGAATTTTGAATAGTGTCAATATTACCACTGGAAAAAAAAAAAGAAAAAAAAAAAGCAGTATTAGTTGATTTTTCTGGGAAGTGAAAGTATACATGGGTTATAAATCATCAGACAAGGAATACCAGAAAAATTTCTGTTAGACAAGTATGTTTTTATATGCTTATACTCAGGAGTTTCTTTGGGTCATCTACTCTTAAAATAGCCATTGGCATTTTATGCATTTTAAAGAAATAAAGAGCTTTTTCTTTACAGTTCTTTTTTGCAGTTCTTAGCATTACATCCCCCAAATACACTTCATTCATGACAAAGATGGTGTAAGCATTAAGTAGGGAGCTGACATCACTCTCACTGAACGGGATCAGAGGGATGGAGCGGAAATGAAACCTCAAAAACCAGTCTGTACTTGTGCTCCCCATGTTGTTGTCATGCAACTGTGGATATCTGATAAAACCGCTATTATAGGTAGACATTTTGTTAAGGATTCAGCATCAGACATCTTCAGTTAAAATGACACTGCTCCTTTTAGTGGGAGATTATTTTTACATAGTTTGAAAATGCAGCATTATAATTGTAGTTAGAACATGTGCTATTTAATATAGGATTTGTAATAGTTGTCTTGTAAACTAATTTGCCCGAGTCATCCTTTGGCACAATTTCAGTTTCTCTATGCTGAAATGTGTTGGATATCCTCAGAAAGGAGGACTGCGTAGAGTTCCCTCTGTAGTCCATGTGCTTGAGGGTATTACGTTGGTAATTATACATACAAGAGACCAGTATGCAGGGTCTGTAACTGGTTTCCCAGTACTAGTACCACAGCAGACATGGCAGAGCTCCCTCTGTGAACTCTAGGACATGCCTGAAAAAGTCATCTGCACCCTTGGCTGTTTAGATGCCTGGCAAACGTTTTAGGCTGTTATCTCAACTAACGTCGCAACAGCCTGTTGAAACTGCTGGTAGCAAGTATGTCCCTTTCTGACTGTACTAAGTTCAGAATTTGCCTCTGAAAATTGTTATGAATGCAGTCCCAACCAAAGCAGTGATAACCAGAATGGAATTTGATGCTGGCAGCACAGCAATGTACAATAAAATTTAGTCATGTCTTATTTATCCAATTGAGCTGATAGTTGCCAATCGCTTCTCAAGTTTTATTCTCTTCACTTGAGGCAGAGCAAAAATAATGCAGTTCTTGTACATATAAATCTAATATATATAATTCCTTGACCACATTAGAAATTTGCTGAATTCATCATACCAGAGTTTTTTGTATTTTCCATAGCATTTAAGGTTTGAAACTCGGGGAACGGAAAGGGGGATGATTAAAGAAGTCTCATGCCATTCCGTGGTTCTATTTTTAATAGCATATAACACGATAAATGGCAGGGCGCTGAAGAAGAGGGCTATAATTCTAGCTGGGGTTTCTGGCAGAAGCCACAGAGCAAGAAAGTGAAAGTCTGTACTACTATGGATTAATGTTTAGGATTTGCAGAATTTTAGTAGAATCCCAAATTATGATGATGATGAGAAGGAGACAAAACTCTGGGAAAGGAAAGAACATCTGTCTTGCTCTAGAAGGACATTTTGTCATCTATTATTTTTAGGCTTGTGAGCTTTAAACATTCTCACATACTCTATTTTTATCTAATGGAGTTTACAGAGCTTGAATTCAAACATCAGAATAAACATTAACAGAATTAGGGGGAAAGCTTTCAAAGTTGTTTGTGAGATGTAACTCTGAGTCCCCTTCACTTTTATAATGGCTACCCAGGCAAAACTCCGCATACTGTTCAGAATACATACTCCAATGTTTTCAACTACTTTTTAATGCTGAGGAAACTGATCAGGCTCTTAAAATAAAATTTTTGTGATGCATAAAAAAACACTAATCGAAGAATGGCAGGGTCAGTCAGCAGAGCCTGTAGTCTAGAACTAGTCCAGTTTAGAGCATCTTTAGACCACAGAAGTAGTAGCAATTTTGCCAGTGGGAGCTCTGCCTAAAACCAGGGTTAGACTGTGAATGGAAACCATGTTAGCAAACTAAACTCCCTCAGTAGCAGATAAAGATTCTCTCTTTCAGCAGAGACTGGGGAAGCTCCACCCAGACTGTGCAAGATCTTAACTGCTGAAGATTAATTGTTTCTAAATTTAGACATTTAACGGAGGCGCCTAAGTTAAGTTTGGTCATCCTAAGGTCCCGTTACCAGCAGTGGAGCCCAATGAGTATCTTGAGAAAGTGAGTCATGCCTCAAGTGTGCTGAGTCAACTGCTGAAGATACCCATCTCTTCTGTTGACTGCAGAGAGACCACAAGGGCTTCTAACGTAGATATTTTGGTTACATGAATAAAACTACTTGGGGTAAATCCAGGCCAAGACTAGAAGGGAAATGATGACTATGTGAAGAATTGTGTTGCTGGGGCTGGAGCAATAGTTAGAAGTGCTAAGGGTACAAATCTTGGAGTTACCTTCCCTCTCCTAATATATCCAGCCACAGCTACCACAGCTGTGGGCATATATACAATGTCTACATTTTGCTGTTGAAATGATCTGCAGCAATGTTTTTAACTGTGTTTTTATATAAATTGTGAACTTGGCATTAACATCCTGTTTTTTGTAGAAGGAGCAAGAGAGAGTATAGGGCTGGAGCTGCCAGGATCAGAGATGCTGGTTTTCCACCTACTCATTCAGATGGCACTGTGTATATTCAGATTGTTACTTGTGGGTGACCTCAGTGAATTTTTCTAAGTAAAAATTTCAGAACATTAGCTTTTGTTATGGAGGGAGGTAACACATAAAACGCAAAGCAGTGTTGCAGGAAAGAACATGTGATTGTACAGTCCAGAACAGAAATATGAATCACCCTAAATTTTTGTTTCTATATTTTGAAGACTTTCTTTTTCCTCTAAAGGGACATGTAATGTTTAATGACTATGAGATGAGAGATCAAACTGTAACTAATGGTCGTCTGTCTCTTTTCCTTGCAGAGTGAATTAGATGTATCCTTTGCAGTATCAGAAATCTATTTGTCTCTCTCTTTCTGGTGTATGTTCCAGTTCATACTGACTTCAAAGCACTGAGTGTCAGTCAAGACAATGCAGAAGTTTCACAAGTTTTGCACTCGCAGTAAGTGGCACCATTTTGGCACCTCTCCGAAAGCATGGCTGATGTTCATGAGGGTCACCTATTTAAATCCTCAGCCATTAAGATGAACCTGGTACCATTTAAAGAAAGACAGGGAGAGCTTGCTTAGAGAGAACTAAGTACTGTTAACACCTAGACATGAGAAGTTACATTCATGGGAGAACTTTCAGGCTTAACTAATAATAATTAGTTAATAATAGTAAGTTAATAATAATAATAATAAAAAATTTAGGGTTTTACTTTTTTCTTGAAGTTTACAATAAATTAGATATTGAAATGACTGCAATAATAAGAGCTGAGTGTTACAGCCGTGTCTTGAACCAAATAGCAGTACCATCATTGTAAGATTGGGTTTGCGCTTTGATCTTGCTTCATGAAAGTCTACGTTGAGTTTTACTTTCTCTATCAATGGAAAGAGAGAAAGGCCTGGGAGGAGGAAATTTAGGAAACCAGTCATTGCCACAGATACCTTTTTTTTCCCCTCCTGTCCCTTACACAGCTGTATTTTCATGTGTATGATTTGCAGGGTATTAACTAAAATAGAATTTAAAAAATGAACAAAACCCAAATACAAACAAATACTAAATACTAAAATACTGTTCTGAATAGCTAAACACAAACAGCAAGTAAATAAAATACAATACTGAATTCAAAGAAAGCTAAACCAGGAAAATATAGCGCAGTCATCTTCCTTCTCAGTTCTTCCAATCCCACTGCCTGCTCACTCTGCTCTGACAATCCTTATGCCTAGGTTTGTTTTTTGGTTAAATGCAGATCTACTGCTGCAAAGAGGTTTCAATTATACATCTGAAATACAGTTGGCACCCTGGAATCAAATACTTTAAAGTAATTTAGTTTATTTACCTTATTTAAGAATTAGTACATATGGAGAACAGAAAAAATTCTGTAATTGTTCTCACTTCTTTACTGAAAAATAACAAACCAAAAGACTTTTGTAAATATTTTAATGCTTGCTACATGCTGGAACTCTGTCTCATTTACTGAACTGAAATATACGTGTATGTATATATATTGTCTGTATTTCCTTCCTGAAATTCACAAAATGCTGTGGTATTAATATAACACTCCTAAATTCACTTATATTATAAAAGAGCAATAATGAAATTTCAGCATGAAGGGACTCGTAAGGTCTCCGAGCGATTATATAACTACATTTTTTGTATTCAGTTATTATAGTTAAGGATTAGAACTATGTGTACTTGTGCATGAGCTTTGCTGAATTAGAGACTAACCTGACCTATTCAGTAATTATAGAAAAAAACAGCCCCGCATGTTTCCATATGGAATACTTCGAGCCTGCAATTACCTGATTCTTTTAATCTTAGATTGTTTGGAGTACTGATGATCCTAAATTCTGCCTGCCTCTGGTCATCGTTTTCATACCAAGAGGAATTTCCTGTAGTTACACACTTACGGTCATCACCAGTAGCCCATTTAATAGCTGGGAAAGGCTCCTGCGTATCCAGCAAGCTTCTGCGTACAGAGCTAGTCTGCATTGTTTTGAGAAGTTGTACTATAGGCTCTCACTAACATTTGCAGGGGGTGCAATACAGTGTCTGAGTGACTCCTGTGGAAATTCATCTTCTCCATGGATCTTGTCTGCATGAGGTGCGAAGATAAGGATTTGGAAAATAGGAGAGTACATTACTTTCTTATTTGATAATACCGGAAATAATATTGGAAAAGCTCCTATCTGATATATCTCTCCTCAACATGTATGACATAGGAATTATGTACATAATTTTTCCATTCAGAAATGCACTTTTATACATTATACAT